CAGCAGCCTTTACGTAAACATTAAGCAATTTACGTGAGTTAACTTCATCGTGAATGTCACTGTGAACAGAGTGTGTTTATGACCCCGTTGCTACCACGACACAGGAACTTTAGGCAAAATTATTATATAACGTCGATATTCCCATAAGTACATAGCCTGCATACATTTTGGTCATTCGAAGATGAAAACCAGAAAAGTTCGCTGTTCGAACGTCTCGTCCCTCCGGACATTTGCTGCCATTACTGATTATTAAAAAAAGTATTCGGACTTTCGAATATGCACTCGATTCGAGTACCGAATAGAATAGAACGCTTTTCAATTCGTTATTCGAAATTTTCAAATATTCGCATATCCCCACTGCTTCTCACCGTGTGCATATATGCCATGCCATTTCGCTCTTCAGCTAATCAGTTAAGCTAAAGTGACGTCATCGTAGCATGAGTCTCTTCGATTACGCTTAAACTAGCAAGCCTTAGATTCCCGTGCAGTGAGTGCTGCCATGTATAGCAGGCACGTATAGTTAGACTTACTGCGACACTCGGGCACTGACGGCAGACGGCAACACTGCGTCCACTCAAGTCCCAGCATACCTCAAGTCCCAGCATGATCGAGGGGATAATGTACTTCTAAAACTATCACCATCATTCTCCGAACAATTAATGTGAACTTATTTTAAGAATGCCATGCAGTTTCAAGGACTCAGTGTGAGAGCGAGTTTGTGTTTGCCATCATACATGCGACTGGTGAGTGAGTGCGTGAAACAACATTGCTGTGTCCACAATAGACTCGAGTTAACTCAGCCTCGCCTGGCTAGGCTCACTCGGGGACGGTCACGTTAAACATGACCGACCTCGCGCGGGCCCTCGGGATGGCCAGGATTTGAGAGGTGAAGTCCTGAGCCTTGATCAGCTTCTTAATTTCCTCTAGGTGTAAAGAAGGACCGGCAACTGAGGCAAAGCCTCACAGGACATGCTCGAAGTCCGCGTAACTACCACACAAGGAGCGATCCAGCCTTTAGAGCCGTTCGGGATATATCGTCAACACAATTTAGAAAATCCATGCACGCATTCCTTTCACCTACAATACTTTCCCATATAAACTCACGAGAGTGTCAATTATGCACTAAGAGACCATGCACAACTATATAGGTGCTGTGAACTAGTGCCAAAAAAGTTGCCCCTGCACTATTTTAGGTTATTGCAGTGCTCCATGCCGACACCTCTTGCATAACTGGGACCACTCCCGCAAGACCAGTCTGCAAGGTCTCCCACAAAGTCATGATCTCATGTACGCGTAAACAGGAAATGCAGGACTTAGTTCGTGGAAATTCCTGTTACTGGGACTTTTTCGTGTTCGGCACTCGACATGGCGCGCACACTATGGAATTATATGTATATCTGCAACAAAGAATTTCTACAGATACATCATTCGTAACAAACAAACAAACAAACAAAAAATTGACCAACTAACTCAAGGCACCCCCTATGTAATTCACGATTCTGCCCAATAAATATTGACATGGTGCATGAAAGATTACTGCCTTGAAATTTGTGTGAGTAGACGTCAGTATAAACAGGATTCCACGTAAGGCTGATATAGCAATGCTGAAGATGAATAAATAGGACCATATATAGGTCAGCAAAAAAAAAAAAAGAAAGTTGAGCTCATTCTGGTTCACTCAAGAAATATATGTTGTGCTTTGGACTCACTCGTATACTCACCAAAAGTTTCCTGAGCCGGACTCACACTCGCCAAAATATTACTCACCTGGACTCGATCAGACTCAGCTTGCTGATCGCGAATTATCGTTCACGAGCGGTAATTCTTTTTCTTAGTGTTTTCCCCATATGACTGAATTAAGCCCCAAGAAGGCCGAGGGCAAGTGAGTGCCCACCTGCCACATGCCAACAAAACAACGTTTTGGAACTTCGTTCCATCATGTGGCAGTGACACATAGAAAAGTCACCTTCAAGGCGCACGATAGTTAAAGTTAATTCGGGGATAAAGATCATCAGCGGCCATCTGGGAACGACGCCCTGCATGGTTGCGATGATTTAAAGACAGAAGGATTAAGGATTTGTGGAGATGCAAGGCTTGTAATCCTATCAATTATGACCGACTGACTATGCAGTTTGTGTATATAAGTTAACTGGATGTTTGTACACCCGCGCAAGTTTGGTTGTATAGCTTTCGTGGGTAATCACATAATGTAAAAAGCGCCACTATCCCACGGGTGTTTCTTGCACAGCACATATGCGCTATACTGTGTAGTTCTGCTTCATACCAATTTTTCGTCTACCTTTGGCAATCGTTTGAATATCACCAGCAGGCTCTCTCTCAGTATACGATTGCTTAGCTGATTATCAGCGCAAACCCCCGCACATGAAAGTGTACAGCATCTAAAAACAGCTTCCAGGTGTTCATTTGCGATGCCGTGCAAGATATCACCATGAACAACTACATTCCTATGATCGAGAACTAATTAATTACACCCGTTATGTCACAGGCAAGCTGTGCTGCTTACAATTTGCCTATAGTGACGGGCCTGGTCATGCTGGAAAGGAATATGATTCAAGAATAGACTGTGCTGCGTGAAGCACGGGATACGTAAGGGTGGTGTTGCGCACATATGAAACTGCGTACACAAAGTAACCATTGTCATTTCAACTTAGACAAGCTCTGAGCTAAGCTAATTAACTTTTTCGATACTAACGTAAGTCAGTTCCGCACTAATGCGGCCCCCTACTAACTCGCGAATCCATATAGATAGATGTGCGCAGTCATGATAACGAATCTTCCAGGAAAGCCATTTAGTTCAAAACACGGTTTTACAGGCAGTGTACCGCATGCGTAACGGAGGAGCAATTCTGGTGACAGCACAAATAATAACTGTGGTGACATCCCGTCCAAAATGACAAAGGGTAAGTAACTGACGTCACGTGTCCGTGATACTTGCATATGCAGTCGAACGAAGACGCAACAGAAACCATTAACCTTTATTTAAATATTCTAACCCATTACGCACCATATACGGAGCCGTTTAGGGTCGTAATAAACTTGTTTCTTCGTTAATTCCCCGTTAACTACTGTCCTTCCAATTTGGCAAACTGATGACCTTCACTACTTCTGTCATTGTATTCTTTGTCTTCTATACAATCCAGAAACACTTCACTTGGCCTCTGGTTCTAGTCTTGGAGATAATGAGCTGCAGGCAAGAAATCTACCATCGATGGTGCGTTATATAGAAGAGTTATCATTTAAGTCATGTCAGGAAGGGGTATACATTCAGCGCTCATTAGGCAGGAATATATCGTGGTGCACGCGCCATCCTCTATGGATGGCGCGTATAGAGGATGGCGCGTGCAAAATTTCCATAGATCATCTTTCTCTCTACTCTTCCATCTGCTGGGTCAGAGTCGCTCAGAACTAGTCCGCCGTAGTGGAGCAGTGGTTACGTGCTCGGCTGCCGACCCGAAGGTTGAGGGGTAATTAAATCCCGGTCGCGGCGACTGCATTTCAATAGAGGCGAAATGACAAAGTCCGCGTAGTGCGCGACGCAAGTGCGCATTAAAGTACACCAGGTAGCTGAAATTAATCCGGAGTCCCCTGCTGTGCTACGCCTCAACCTTATCGCTTTTGGCGCGTAAAATCACAGACATTACTATTAGAGACTTAGACCTAGCACATTCGAAAAGGGGCAGATTCCATGTACCGTGGAAATCGATGATATGAGAAGCACGAATGAGGAAGCTTGATAAGCCACTTTAAAATCAGCACAACATTACGAGGCAGACGTAAACTATGCCGTACATGACTTGAATGTCACGACTGCCATGTTTGCACCTGACAGTTGTGTTCGTCATCCATTCACGTCACGTAACACGAAATTTGGTATATGTGGAGCTAGCGAAACGACCGAGAGCAAGCTATGAGCGTAGCATGTAGTCATGTTTTACATGATACGCATATCATGACTATCATGTTTGGACGTGTCATATACATTCGTCATTCATTCACGTCCCGTAATACCAAATATTTGGAGGCGGAAATGTTGTAAACCCGTGTTCTCTCATTTGGGTGCGCGTTAAAAAACTCCAGGTGGTCGAAATTTCCGGAGCCCTCCACTACGGCGTCTCTCATAATCATATGGCGGTTTTGGGGTGTTAAACCCCATATATCAATTGATCAATGAATCGTAATACCACATTTGGTTTACGTGGAGCTAGTGAAACGACCGCGAGCGCACCATGAGCGTGTCGTGTAGTCATGACTTACATAACATGCATGTCATAATTTTCACGTAAGGGTCTGTCACTTACGTTTGCCTTGCAGTACTACCATACCATACCATACCACTTTTGCAATGTCATGTGAACGAAACCACCGCAAGAGCAGCAAGACCATTAAATGTGACACGATATACATGTTATGATTTTCGTTGCAAGACCAGCATGAGTTCCCAGTCATAACGTCATGTTATGCCATACCAATTTCGGTATCAATACCATTATTGAAACGGCCCGGAGAGCTAAATGTCGTAGGCGGATAGATAGATAGATAGATAGATAGATAGATAGATAGATAGATAGATAGATAGATAGATAGATAGATAGATAGATAGACTCAATGCAAATGTTGCTGAAGTTCGCTTAGAAATGCTTCACATCTAATAATTCAGAACCATATTGTTGACGTCACTCACATCCGGTTTGGAGTATCACTACAAGCCATACTTCACGACATAGTGAAATTAACCTATATCATTATAAACAGAAGTTTACCTGCATACATACAAAAACAATCAAGTGCCACAGGGAACATTGCGAATGCCAAGACAAGCATTGAAATGCATTGCACATCGCTTATAGAGCGTAAAGTGACGCAGTTTCCTGATCGGCGAGAAGCACTGATTTGTGCGCATCGCAGCACTTACATCGCAGTGGAGCTTCAAAAGCGTAGCTGCTCAACATGCGAGCGTTGGTCACAAAAAGAAGAACACGGAAGCTCTGAAGTTGTTTATTTTTACATTATAAAATCGAGTGGTGTACATGAAAAGTCAATTTTTAGCAAGGCATCAGGAACGGAGCCCCGAGGGGCGTCAAAGGCTGGCCGAAGGGAGCCACCGGTTGCTCGGTAATGACATGGTGAATCTTGAAGGGCGAGTAGCCGCCCTCGGCCGATGTAGAACCAAGGAAATCGAGCCACTTTTGAGGCGAGCAGCCAATAACGCGGCCACCGCACATGAGCGTCATGAGTTTGATACCGAGCACAACACTGCGCACATCCTTGCACGAGTTGTAGACGCCGTGCGCGTAATCGGGCCGCAGAGCGTACACCATTTCAGCGACGTGGGGGCCGGAGCCAGCCTTGGCCGTGGCGTTGACCGCCAGGAACTGCGACTGCTTCGGGGAACACGTCATACGGCACATCAAGTCCTTGAAGTTGAGCATGCAGGCGGGGCACTTGGTCATGCCGAGTCGCGCGGGCTGCTCGAGCTCGCGGGCGAGATCTTGCACCTGGGACATTTCGCAGCACACGGCGCGGTCGACCTTCACCTCGGCGGCCAGCTGTGGGCAAACGTCGGAGAAGAGCCTCCACGCAGAATCGTCGGTTATGGGCGCGGGTTTCTGCCGCACCGCGCACGGAATAGCCTTGTCCGTGTCTTCGTCGTTGGCGCAGTGGCCACGGAAGACGCAGTCCGCCGCCGCCCGCAGGACGAGCAGCAGGAGAAGCGCGCTCAACGCCGAAGCATTCATGACGCCCGTCTGGTAGGTTCAGTCGCGTCTGCAGGGACGAGTTTCGCACACTGGTACCGCGGGTGTCCCGAAAGGCGCCTTTATCAAGGCTGCGCCGGCTCTTCTCTGCAGGCTGACTGGCTCCGCTGGACCTATTAAAGGAAAACGCGTGTTAGCCGAGGAGACACTCGAGGGCGAGGGCTTAGAAACAAGAAGAGCGCCTAGGAGGAAACGGCGCATCAACTACGCCGCGATCCGCCCACAGTCACCGCGAGTGCGACGAAAAACGGACCACAGAGTCCCGAAAGATTCTGGTTTCCGATAAGAATTATCGCTGCGTGACAATGACCCTCTGGCGGCCCGCAATGGTGCGCCCGAGCGTCTCGCTGACGCATGCTTGTAGAGCGAGTGCCTTCTTCACCATGATAGGGGGGCGGGGGCGGCAAGAGTGTGCGTTCTCTGGGCCGTGGCGTGGAAGCGGTAACACCGTTTGAATAACAACGCACCGGTGGAGCGCACCTCGCGCCGCGAGAGGAAAAACAATGGGATGCGCGCATCCCGTGCGGGTCCAAAAAGTTGGACGCGCGCAGTTCTTGCTTTGTTGTTGTTGTCCTTGGGGACGACGGATAAATACGGGCTGTACGCTGTCGCCCCGATTTCTCGGGCTGGAGTCCAAACACAAAAATATCTCCGTGTGCCACGGGAAACTTTCGGTGCCGTTCGCTAACCAAACAGAGAGTCGTCCGGGGGCGGCTGATGCTGGCGCAGTTGTTGCTGCCACCTCGAGGCACGATTGGAGCCCGGGACGTGAGCGGAGACCGCGCGAAGCCCTCCCCCCCCCCCCCCCCCCCCACTGGCGCAGAATGCAAAAGAGGCCCCGTGGATCTTATATGCATTCTTTTTTTTATGTCTTGCCTGTCGGTTCTCGCGAGTTTTGTTGCCTGTCGAAACGCGCTGTCTTGGAAAGCGCCGTTCCTCGCCTCGGGCTGCTGTTGTTAATCAGAATGATCTCCGGGTGGAACGTTCTCTAGACAAACACCGCGCTACCTACCTGGGAGCCTGGGCCCACTGACGAGACGCGCACCTGGGCTCCCGCGGCCTTGTTTGCTGGCGGCTTCTTGCGCCGCGCGCTCTTCTTCTCCCCTTCTCGTTCACTGCTGCTGATATGAGCGCCGACAGCCGAGTGGAGCCCTACGGCGACGGCTGGCTCCCTTTCGAGCACGTGCCCTTTGACGTGCGGACACTTCAGCAGCGCAAGCACGTTGCTCCTTCGGAGGCGCCGCCAGTCACTGCGAATTATTAATGTTGGTCCACTGCTCTAGTGTCGGCAGCCGAACACCGGCTGGTAGTTAGGTGTTTGCTTCCGAAAATTGCCGCCAAAGGCCAGAGTGCCAGGGGCGCCGGTATGTTTGTAACGACCCACATAACGTTTCATAATACGCATAATACTCAACAACTGTTTGATCTCTTGTTTACTGATTTACTTATTTGTTTGTAACGACCGATGTGTACTAATGCGTAGTGTCATATGACGAACAACACATTTATATATTCCAATATGCCACTATAACCCTGTTAAGGTTAATATACGGCATATGTATGAAGTTTCTGCAAGATGGGCGAGCAAGATTGTCTTCTCTTAGTTTTACAACGCCCCTCTCTAAACTACTACTATTCACTTCAAAACAAATTGGGAGCAAACGCGGCTATTTATTGAGTTCCCCGTTTATATGGAGGAATGCACCTCTTTTGTTGCCGATGAATCTGGGAGATAGGATAAGATATCTGCGCGATAGCATGTTGGAACGAAAACTGTGCGAATCCCTAAAGAAGTGGCTCTAGCAGATAAGGGTACAACTTGCAGAAGCGATGAATCGAGATTAAGCACTTAAGAAAAGATTGATTGATTGATTTGTGGGGTTTAACGTCCCAAAACCACCATATGATTATGAGAGACGCTGTAGTGGAGGGCTCCGGAAATTTTGACCGCCTGGGGTTCTTTAACGTGGACCCAAATCTGAGTACACGGGCCTACAACATTTCCGCCTCCATCGAAAATGCAGCCGCCACAGCCGGGATTTGATCCCGCAACCTGCGGGTCAGCAGCCGAGTACCTTAGCCACTAGACCACCGTGGCGGGGCAGCACTGAAGAAAGAAATAATAAAACAGTCATCCCCTCTTGCGGACGCCAATCATGTATGAAAGTGAGCTGCTTGAAAAGATTTCTTCAGTGGCAAAAAAATATTAAAAATCAAGGGGAGAGCGGAACAGTTTACATCGGTGTTCAATATCTCGTGCGTCCTGATTTATAGGCTAAAATTTCAGAATCAACTGTCTCACGTCATGGATAGTAAATAAAGTGCTTACAAACGCCTTGTGCTTAAGAGTAAAGTTCAAACAAATATTTAAAACCTAACAACAGACATGATAAACCACTATTCATTCCTACCAGTAAGTCTGAAAAAAAAAACCCACAAATTAAAATTATTTCGCAATAAATGTGCCGTCTGAAGGATGGGCACCTCCTTTCTTTTCCTCTTTTCCATTTTATTCTCTCTTTATATATCTATTTATTTCTATTAGTTCTTTCTCTTGTTTATCTATTTGTTTCTCTTTCTGTTTTCTTCTTTTTTTCCATTTCTCTCTTTATTTCTCGCGCGCTTCCTTTGCGTAGTGCGAGTAATTTTGGCGCCTATCTATCTATCTATCTATCTATCTATCTATCTATCTATCTATCTATCTATCTATCTATCTATCTATCTATCTATCTATCTATCTATCTATCTATCTATCTATCTATCTATCTATCTATCTATCTATCTATCTATCTATCTATCTATCTATCTATCTATCTATCTATCTATCTATCTATCTATCTATCTATCTATCTATCTATCTATCTATCTATCTATCTATCTATCTATCTATCTATCTATCTATCTATCTATCTATCTATCTATCTATCTATCTATCTATCTATCTATCTATCTATCTATCTATCTATCTATCTATCTATCTATCTATCTATCTATCTACCCAGTACCGACGAGAACTCAGGTGGGTAGCTTTAACGCGTGAGAGTTAAGAAAAGCCTGACATCGGCACCGTTGACCCGTCGAATGCATAGAATAAATGTCAGGGTTCCAGCAGAAATCAAACCCAAGCAATCTGCGCGACAACCACGGATTCTAACGCCACGCCACGGTGGTCTAGTGGCTAAGGTAATCGGCTGCTGACCCGCAGGTTGCGGGATCAAATTCCGGCTGCGGCGGCTGCATTTCCGATGGAGGCGAAAACGCTGTAGGCCCTGCTGATATTTGGGAGCACGTTAAAGAACCGCAGGCGGTAAAAATTTCCGGAGTTCTACACTACGGCGTATCTCATAATCATATGGTGGTTTGGGGATGTTAAACCCCACAAATAAATCAATCAAGGATTCTAACGTAAAGTCATGTCAGGTTTTGGAACTACTTTTCAAATGGGCCCTAGCGTTCGCGAAATTTCGATTGTGGTGGCAGTGCTGGCTATCTATATTTATAAACAATACATATGTACTCCTATGACACAGCCGTCACGTCGGGCTGACGTCCACTGTACTTCGGTGCCATCCCATGAAGTGTATGTTTGCAGCCGTGTGAAGGGCAACCATTCTCGCGAGTCCTAGTAGCGCTTCATATTAGCTTATCGCTTCTGGTGTTGCTAATACTCATGTTCCTGTTGCAATCGTTGTACAAGAGCAAACAACTGATTATATAAACATCTGCAACTGTTCAACGTATGTCTGCGCGTGGAACATTTGTAGAAATATTCGCGTCGTTTGATAACCTGTCATTGAAAAAAAAATTACAACACGGTCACCTTCCCTCCACATGCTTCGTGTAACATTTATTTCAAATATATGTGGTATCTGCCAATTTTTTTATAAATGTTATGCCTGCGTTACGCCAAGCGCACCAGTTTTTTCTTGATGCTGATGAAGTGACCATCTTCAAGCTGCTCGAAGAACAAGAGGAAGAACTTCGGACTTCTTGGCACGAACGCACTTCACTTGGGCGGGATCGCGCGTCTACTTGTCCTCATAAAGGTGCTCGAAGAACAAGAAGAAGAAGACTTTTTCGCGCGAGCGCACGTTCCCTTATCAAAATCAAGGAGCTCAAAGAACAGTTAAGAGGAAGAAAACTTAGCTTGGGCCAATCGTGCGTTCACTTATCATAATCAAAGTGCTTGAAGAACAAGAGGAAAAACACTTCTTCTTGGTGCGAGCGCGTGCTACGCATCGTTACGCCAAACGACGATGACAGCATACAACAGTCCAGCCCACCTAAGGTACTCGGCACTTAGAGGAAAAATTACATTCAGGGACAGTTAGTGACAATTTGTAGGTCACCGATTTGAAACATTCGCAGGTTGTATATCTAAGTATACAACCTGCGGACTTAAGGAGACAGAGTGAATCTGCCATTAAGGAATTGATTGAGCTGTACGAATTTAGTCTCTTTAAGGTTAAGTGAAACGCAGGGAGATTAACCAGATGAAAATTTTTCGGTTCGCTATCCTGCACCGGAGAAGGGGTAAGGGTAAAAAAAGAAAAAAATGAAAGATAAATGGTTAAAATAGACAGGAAAAAAAAAAAACGAACGCGTGCTGAAGCACGGAAGTGTCGTATTCGTTTGGAGAGTCTGGTTCACTGCAGAAACACCAGCAGTGCCTTCGTCACTTTCAGTTTGAAAGCTCGAACGTCCTGGCAATCCAAAATGGATTGTTCGGAAAGTGGCCGGTCTTCCAACCGTAATAACGTTGATGAGAGCTGTTGTCCCTGGGAGCTGCAGTGAGGACAATGGCAGAGAGCGTGTGCAATGGTTTTCTCGCTGCCACAGTGATGGCAGATAGCACTAACTGCCATTCCGTTTCGGTAAGTAACGATGTTTGCGAATGATCGACCCTCCAAGCCACAAGAAGCGGAGGAGTCTTGTTTGGGATCTAGATAACGTCCATCTACAAATATGCGTTACGAAATACAGTGACACTCCAGATAACTTGGCAAGGGTGGAGGCATAGGCATTCCCAATTTGTACGACAATAAGAAAACACAGGGACGAAAACGGAGGACACAGGATCACTACTGCTGACAATCGGTAAGCCAGTAAACAATCCGCACTCACCCGCCACGGTAGTGTGGTAGTCACGGTGCTCGATTGCTGACCGGCAGGTGGCGACATCGAGTCCCGGTCGTGGTGGCCACACCTAAATAGAAGGGAAAA